GGAACTCAGGTTGGTTATTAGAGATGGAGGATTTAGGACTTCTGCATTTGATTCCCACTTACTCTGTGTTATTACCTTCTCTGTGCCCTGCTATCCTTAGCTGACAAAATGGGGACAGCACCTTTTGCTGCCCCTAAATGTATTACGTGAACGAGAGTTTGTGAAGTGCTTTTGGATTGCAGGTGTAAGAACCGCTGTGCTGGATGAGGCCAGAAGCCTGCCCAGCCCCTGATCGTACAGCGGTGGTAGGAGATGCTATTGAGGGGGATGGCACAGCCCTGGCCGCTTTCTGCAGTCCATTCCAGTACGTCAGAGGATCAGAGGATACGATGCTACCCTGAGTGCATTTCACCTGCTCTGATGCTGGCTGTCCCAAGTGTCTAGCCTAAACTAGATGCAAGCTACTTCTGCCCTTGGTGAAGGGAGAGGGATGCTCCTGGAAAGTGAGTCACTCACTTTTCTTAACCACCTTTACATGGACAGTCCTCTCGGCTGCAGAAAAAACCCCTGCTTTTCCCCTCCCTGTTTGTGAGGCCACACCATGACCTGGACCAGATCTGAGTCCTGGACAAGCCAGCCTCAATCCTGTTCACTTTGCTTTTTCCCTTTCTCAGGATTTTAACATCGTTCATGCTTCCCTTGCTGAGACCCCCCAAAGCCACTTGAAATGGAGCAGCGTTGCAGTGGGGAGCCAGGAGCTGCTCTAGGCTTGGCAAGGGCACCACGGGGCTTGTCTGTACACCCACAGCCTCCGACTAGACACAAAGCTTTCAAGTACCTAACGTTAGGTGTGATGATTTTTCTCTCTGTTCACTTTCCCCTGTGCACGTACATGTGTGGGTCGTACTGACACGTTATTAAGGATTCTTGAAGCAGAATGTGTGAGAAGAGGCAGATACAGTGTATGGCAAATCAGCGTGAGTACACTACAACCTTGGGATTGGTTAGTGATGCTTTTGTTTTCTGCTCTCGGAGAATATCCTGGACAAAGTGGGATTGTCACTGCTGTTTTGTTCATCTCTACATTTTAGTGCGTGTGCCTCTGATGTGGCATTGCATCATCAAAGTGTTAAAACAAACTCAGAAAAGAATACAGGCAGTGCATTTGCACATCAAGTATTATCAGGTGTAGAAATTTCTAACTATTTGCCAGCTTAAAAAGATAGGAAAAATAATAGTAAAACTCGAAGGGGAATGCTTCTGGACGTGTTATTTTATATGTATGAGTACTTGAAAAAAATACACTATAGATAATACTTGAAATCGGTCAAAACCTGACAAAAGCAGCAAACGGACTTACTTCAAAATATGTGCTAAAAATCTCATGTTCTTTTGGACCAAAGCTTATGTGCTGGATAGTAGCTCTGTATCAAAGCTTTGAAGCTGAGATTTTAAATACTTTTTCAAAATTAACCCTGTACCATAAATGCTATCAGATGCTTAATTAAGACTGCACTAGCAAGGAGCACGTTTGCGATAAATTATGGGGAGGTGTTCTGACATGCTTTATCTATGTAAAGATTTCTATTTTTATGTGAAGCTATTTACAGATTATTGATTTCAAAAATAGATTTGTAACTAAAGAAAGATGCATCATATTTCAGTTGCTTGGAGTTGAGAATCTTGCCTGGCTGGCTGCCCGCTCTCTTAGATGTTTATTCCAGTGGCTTACAAGTGTATGGAGTGATTCAGCCCTTCTTATTTTTCTCTCTCTATTTGGAAGAAGGAATTTGTATTCAGAGATCAAGTCCCGTAACTCTTAGCCACGCAGGTAGGCTGATTTCGACACCTTTGAAGCATCATAACAATTTTATTGAAATCCATGAGACTTTTTGTGTAAGACTTTTAGGTGGGGAACATCCATCACAGTATCTTTTGTCAGTTGTTACTGTTTTATTTCAGAGCAGTAAGCTATTGTCACAGTGCCAGTGGAGCCTGCTAAGCTGTAAGAGTGCCTTTGAGTTCATGTAATACAAAACTTCAGCATAAGATTTTTTTATTTTACACTCCGTGAACATTAAAAGAAAGATTTTAATAAATAAATCAGGGCAAGCCTGAAGATAGAGGTAATATCTTTTATTAGAGCAACTGGTAGAGTTTGAAAACTTAGACAAGCTTGTGTGCCCAAGAGCTTGTCTATTTTTTCCAGCCATACCAGTTGGTCTAATAAAAGATATTGCCTCTGTCTACAAACCTTGTCCTGCTTATGAACTCTGTTCATCACAGCTACAGCAAAATACTGCTGGAACATGAAAATAATTCAGGCCTTTCTTACTTAATTATGGAAACTCAGATTTTTGTGGTTTCCTCAGGTCTCAGCTTTTTGAATCCCAGCACACACAGAATGATGCAGTCTGGTTTCTCCTACTGTAGAGTTTATCACATAGGAGCTCAAACTGCTTCACCAATTCCTCATTTTAGAAAGGATGTTATTAAAGGTAACCTGCTAAAGATCTGCCATCTGGATTTTGGGATATTTTGTAGGATGCTACTGGTGAACTATCAGATGTCTGGCATGAATGGCTGTTGAGAGCAGTGCTGTCCTAGTACCTGTGTCAGCATCTCTGATGTGGTGTGATGGTGATGGGAAGCAGATGAAGTGGGAAGAAGAGGCTGGCAGAACGGAAAGTCTCTGGCTTTGGCTGTGGGTGTAAATCTTCGAATCTTGCTATGTGTCTGGCTGGGTGAGCAGAACAGTGTAGCCCTTCTAAATGGCAGGAAGCTTGGATTTGGACTTGTTTCAGCTGGAAGACCTAGACCCGGACTTGTCTAAGAGTCATACGACCAGCCATGCAACAGTTTTTTCACAGCTATTTAACTTGCCTTTTAGAGGCCTTAAATTTATATGTCTTTTGGATCTGAATCTGTAGCTTTAGGTTAGTAGCTTTAAAATATCTCCAGGTGGTGATGATCTGGACCATCTTGCAATGTCCATAGGGTAGATGATTTCCACCCTCTGGGGACACAAGCCCTTTCCGTAGTTTGCAGTCTTGGGGTCATACCAGATCCTTCACTGTGCTGCCTGTCTCTCGGCTGCTGACCTGGAGTCTGTCACTCTTGCACGGGCACTGCTCCTCTCCCGAGTCCCCTCTCCTCCATCAGGACTGCTGCAGCCCTTGCTGCCTGTAAGGAGCGTTGCTGCAGGCAGTGCCCTGCGTTTGAAGTGGAACAGGTTGGTGCTTGCGGGCTGTTTAGTTCTGTGCTGCCTTCCATCTGCCTTTGGGCATGGCTTAAATAGCTGGTAATTACTTATAAGCCCTTGGTGGCCGGGGCCTGGGCTATTTTAGAAGCTGCTTCTCCCTGCATGCCCTGTTGTGGAAGTTGCGGCTGGCTGGAATGGCCCGTCGCCCCTCGCTGCGGTGACCTCCTCTCCTGGGTGTGTTGCAGGGAATTCGGGGGGGAGAGCTCTCAGCTCTGGCATGCAGTCCTTTGGGCTGCCTGCCAGGGCCTAAATTTGGTGACCTTTAGGATGTGGCAGAAGATGCATTTGTAAACCTTGGTTATAGTAACTGGGAGACAAGCAGAGAATGCTGGGGGAGGGAGGAACATTTTTTACAGACAAGCTGTTTGCCGTCTGTTTGATTTTTAGGACCAGCAACTAGTAGGTAAATAGACTAACAAATGCTGTGACAATTGCAACTGTTGCTCTTTAATAAAATTTAAAACTAAAAAATTATACAGATTTCCTCCAGGAGAGCGAGCACGCGTGTGACCTCCAAAAGCGCCGTGACTTCTAATGCTGGCTTGGACACTTGCTCTGCTCTCTTCTTTGCTGAAATCATCTGGTTTCCCTTCTGTAAAATGAGGGCAGTCATATTTTAAAGGTGTCTAGAAATGGTTGCTGTATCATTACCCGTGTAACTTGTGTGTGGTTTTGTTTCTTTTTAAGGAAGAGCGAACAAGCCAAGCCCTGCGGTCCACCAGTTGTGTGGGTTACACAAGAATGTGGTTTCATGTTATACCTAATTTGGTATAACTGTGGGATGCGTCTCCCACCCCATTCTTCACACCGGCTCTAATGATAGCCTTGTGGCAGGTTGAGCTGGGTTCAGCCTGCTGACCAGTGGTGAACTACCCGGTTTTTGTTTGCTTTTGGTTGTTTAGTTTTGATGGGTGAGGACTTGGACTGGTGAGCTGAACTGACTCACCGTGGGGCTGCTTCATCATCCCGCCCTGTGCCAGGGACACAGCAGGAGGGGACGAGCAGGATAGCCCCACAGTGCTAATAACACAATTGGGAAAGGTACCCCTGTTTCCTCACTGCAGGGCCTTCCTGATGAGAAGGGCTGTTTGGTGGTTTGGTTTTGACAACCAGTACTTGTGAAGGGGTGCAGATGTTTGTGAAGATCTGCTGGTGAATATTTGCGTTGCTGGTGTTACAGGTTTGCAGTGTGTTCTTGCTCTCTCTGAATGTGGCTGATCTGCAGAGATCAAAAGATCGTCTTTCTGCTTTCCTTCCAATTGTTTCTGCTAATTTAGCATCGGTTTGAAGCTTTGTCTTTGCTTAGAGGTCAAATGGCCAGGGACAAGGCTCTTTATTTTTACTGTGTGGTAAAGGTGACAAGGTCAGTCCCACCGGGGTTTGTAGGGTTTGTCCTGCCTAATTTATCTCGTGTATAAAGCGTAGGTTTTCCATCACCTGTAGCTAATGCATGTTAGTAACACTAGGGTCAAAAAATACCCCTTTTCGTCAATGAAACAAGGTCTCTGTTTCTAAATGCATTTTCACCACAATGGATAGGGATGTCTTTGCAGTTCCAGCCATGTGGAAAAGCCTTCTTAGCTCTCTGTTTTAACACCCTGTCTCATCAGACATCTCAGAGGAAAGCATGTCACTTGACCTGCAAACACAGATCATTCCACCGGGTACTTTGCAAGACTTCCTGAGTGGCACTGCATCTCTTTGTACCAGGAAACAGACAACTTTCTGGTGAAACAAACCTTGAACTTAAGCAAGCTTTTCTTTTCTGCTTCTTTCAGAAATAAATAAGCATTTGAAGATGACAACCTCATGGAGCGACCGACTCCAGAATGCAGCAGATCTCCCTGCAAACATGGATGGGCATGCTCTGAAAAAGTACCGCCGGGAAGCCTATCACCGGTAAGTTGTTCACGTAACCCCAAAACTAAAGTGCTGAGACAGAGGAAAATAAACTAAGCATAAAACCCGCATTTCTTGTTTTTTGCTTGTTGGTAAAACAGAACAGTCGTTCTTACCTTCCTTGCAGAAGTGTTAGTAGAAGAGAACTTAGAAGATAGCACAGTGTTGGCTTGCAGGAATTTACAAACAGTAGAGTTGAGATACATGTGAGGGTATGCTTTCCTAATGCAGTCGAAAGATTAATTAAAGTTAGATTTTGGGATAGAAGCTTTCAAGTCAAGAAATACCCAGTGGCAGAAATGTTATAGTAATTATTGCAGTGCACACTGGGAGAGCATAGCCTTAGACACTGGAATGCACAAATACAAATAAGGAGAAAATCAAATGGGATCAGAAATCAAGTGTTTGAGAATTATGTCTAGTATGATTAATTGTGGGTGCCACAGGAGCACGTAGAAATACTAGGCAAGATCTCAGCGTCCTTTTCTGTGGTAGGTGTGCCTAAAACCGTCTTTGCTGTAAAACAATTACAGTCTAAATAAACAAGATAGAGTACAGAATAAAATAAATGTTAGCACTCTCATTTTATAGTTTGGGAATCAAAGTACAGACACTAGATTGTTTTCACAAGATCACATTGGCGGTTTGATTGAGCCAAGAATTTAGCCCACAGCTCCCAAGGTTCCAGGCATAGAACATAAAAGATGGATGCAGTCTGTATCCTTATCAGATGTCTGGACTGTTACGGAGTTAAAAACAACCGCATCGAGTAATTGTCAGTATTCTGTTTGTGGGAGGTGTATCTTCAAAGTTTAGGTTGTTTAATTTGAGAAGTCATCAGCAGGAGTCAGGGAGATGTATGTCTGATATAGAAACAGAAGAAGAAGTCAAGTTTCCCAACCTCATGCTTAAATGCCACATTGCATTTGTGATTCATATATGGTGGTATTTCTGAGGAAGTGTTTTGGAAGTGTTAGATATCTTTTGATTCTCCAAATGGAATCTAATTAGAGAAAAACGCCTTAGCATCATATGATAGGCCAGGTTGTGCAAGTTGCAGTGTCTAAGGCTAAGTAATGGATCCTGTGATGCATTTCTGAAGCTTTCCAATTTCCAGTGAATGTGTTTGGACACATGTCTTAAGTGGTGGCATTATTTGAGTCTCTCTGTGTCAGCTGGTTTGTCAGATATGGAAACATCTAATGAATGTAACTATATATAGCACGTAAAAAGAGAGGGATTTTATACCATTCCCTGGCAAAAAATCTTCACCTTGTTGAAGTCATTGTCAGGTTTACCTTTGTGTCATAATGTTGCTTATGACTTTAGTTGTGTTACTCCTGATTTAGACTGATGGAAATGATGTCATACTAAGACCTGTTTTTTTCTTTCTAAATATTTCCTCAACATTTGTTACGGTTAGGTGCTGACAGTCTGCTAAGTGTTGTACAAGATCCAAAAGAAGCAGTACTTGCCCTTAAGAGCTCACACATTCAAGTCCTCACCATGTTTGCCCTTAACTCATGTAAGAAATCTTTACTTTCAGAAAGAATTTCCTTATGGAAGATGAGAGTGCACTCATATAAAGGAAGGTTTCTCATGAGGAGCTGGGATCTGGTAGTCCAAATTTAGTCTGTGGTACAGTTTAAGTACCCCTTTTTAGAACCTAGAAATGTCTTATTCAAAACATTGAGCAGAAATGTTGCTAGCACTTCAGATTTTCATGGAAAGCACAACACTGGAAATACATTAAGGGGTGGCACATTTTTGTTTTGAAATTACTATCCTCATTTAAAAAGAGAGAGAGAGGGAGGGAACGGGAGAGAATGAGAGAACCTGATGCCAAGACTGTAGTATAAATCTGTGCTATTAATGGCTTTGGTTTACCAGTTTCATGGGAGTTATTTTGACAATCCAGTATTGTAAGAATCTGAAACAACCTCATTCCAGAAGCAGTGTTGTCAGATTTCTATTTCTGGTATTTTTTGAGATCTTCGTGTTAACAGATGTGATGTTACTTAAAAGATAAGCGCAGACTTAACATGATAGAGTAGGACTGAAGTTATTTCCCCTTGTTGTTTTATATTATATTTTTTAGTATTTTAGTAATTGTTCAGATGTAGAATATGTGTGCTGGTCACAGCCATCAGTTCTAGGATGTAAATTTGTTTCAGTGAGGTCCAAGTATGCTCTGACTCTTGGATATTGCTGAAGCCCTGTCAATTTTATGAAGAAGAGAGATATAAAAGACAAGGCATTGATTGTCAAGATTCTTTTCTTTCTCTTCCTTCCTTTTACTTTCTCTTTGTTCTTACTTATCTTTCACTTTCTCTCTTTTTTCTGTCTCTTTTTCTTCTTACTCTAGCAGCTAAAGAAAAAAAGCTTGAAAACATGAATCTAAAGTGACTTAGAAACAAGAACAATAAAAAAGAACATTGAATTTAAAACTATTAAATTTTTTTACCTGAAGGCTGGTTGCAGTGATTTTATGGGCCCGATCTGGAAGGCTGGAGGAGCTTGGCAGATGGTCCATATTTACAGATGAGCATAACTGGGGCTAGATTTTGATACCAGTGTCGGAAGCTCAGTTGGGCTCAAAGTCATTCATTGGCATTTTCTAAATGCTGCTAGTAATGCTTGGTTTTCTGAAGTATGAAATTTTAAAAACTTGTTTCACTGTTTGTTTACTTCATGCTTACTTAAATATCAGTGGAGATACCTCGACCAATTGATTTCACTTCCTGATTCTCATGAACTACACCAGATTTGGTATGCTGGAGTTGTAAATGTTGAAGCAGCATAAAATAAGGAGAAGAGTTTCCAATCCAAGCAAAATAATTTACCTTAAAAAATAAAAATAATGTTCTTGTGGGCATGAAACTTTTAAAAAACTTCATAAAAAATTAGCTCTGAAGATGCCACTCTAACAGTCATATTTTACTGTGGCCGTTCATACTAGGAATGTGTTTTTTCAGGTGTTGCACTTCTTATTGTATTACACTTGATGGATGGATGTTCAACATATAATATTGTTGGCAGAATCCCAGTTGAGACTGGTTTAACTGGTGTCATGCATACTGACTCAGAGTATGATGAGTGTATCATAATCATGTCTGAATGCCATAGGCAAGAATGTTCAAAATCAAGTATTTATAGGTCTTTCCCTCTTGTAGCTGTTTTCCTCCCAAAAGTTTTGCTTGGTGTTTGGATGAGTTTGTATAGCTGCTTAAGAAATTAGAGTATTGAGGTTATTGATGAACTAAGCAAAGCTTGCGAATATGAACACGTATGCTATGCTGTAGAGTTCAAGGGCCGTGAAAGCAACATCAAGAATCGGAAGAATCTGTAGGGGAGGAGAAGCGATGGGGTTTTATCTTCAGGGTATTTCTGATGACTTTAGCTAAGGCTTTCAGTTAGCTAGTATTACTATCAGCCACAAACCTCATTATACAACATTGTTGGCGCCTGTTGGAGGTGAGGTCTAAAGAGGAATTAATATACAAGCTAGATGTTATTCATTCTCTAGCAGAGGTCACTGGTAAGAGGATACTGCATTACTGTGCTATTGGCAACATACGTTTTAATTCGGAAATAAAATGGATGTGTAGCTGTTAGGTGGCTTTTCCTTAGTGTGTGTGGTTGTGAGGCCACCTCCCTCATGCACTGCTTGTTGACTTTTCTGGGTAGAGGATAATCGCTAGGCCATTTGTTCTGGAGGAGTACTGTCATTTAACGTGATTGTAATTAGGCAAGAACTAGGTTGACTCTGAGCCACCAAATTGCCCTAGTGTCTATTTTTTAACTTGGAGTGAGCACTTCTAGGCACCCTCTGGATTATCTCACATAGCTCTTTAGGGTTTAAATAGCAACCACATCTAGTTAAAGCAAATAATGGAAAAAGTTGGTGTTCCATCCACTCTTGTTACTGACAGTTACCAAGATCCAGGAAACAGGTATTTGCATTTACTTTTATTCTGTGCTTTTGACTTAACAGGGCAGTAAGGCTGAGGTGGCCTTTTTGTTAAACATACAGACTTTGGGATGCTTTTACCATTTTTCATCAGAGTAATTTGAGACTTCTCGTCCTGAACATGGGGTTTCTGTTGTTGTTGTTGTAGTTTTGTTTTCTTGCTCTGTTGTTTACTGGCTAGCGCAGGGGATGTGGCATCGTGATTCCTAATCCTAATTCTCCTGACCGGTCGTAGAGTATTGAATAAGTTGCTTCATAGTTTTGTGCTTCAGTTTGCTTGCAAAGCATCTTATGTGGGTAATATGAGTTAAGTGATTTAAGCTGTTAATATGCACTGAGATCCTGGGTTAAAAAAATGGTGTATACTTTAATAATGACAAAGCAAAAGGATTACCAATCGGTTGTTTTGATTTCTAGGGTTAAAGATGTATTTTAGTTTGTTTGAATTTGTAAACTGTGGGCTATTCACTGCTAATCTTTTTTCTTCATTTTATTGATACTGGATCATCAGTGATTGCAAACAGGTGGAAATGTTATATAAACTAGGCTACGAGGCTTGAAACTGTTTATCTATTTGTGCAGCTATATATAAATTCTCTTTACAATGATTGGTTCATTGAGGTGGCAAATGAGAAAAAAATCTTTAGCAATCTGAAAATGCTCTTTTCATCAGAAACGTTCGGATAGGCGATGTGTGGTATTTTCATGTAACTGTAAATGAGGTAGCTCTGTAGGTGCTTCTGGCTGTGGTCTGTCCTCATACGTCTTGGTGCAGCCTCCTTGGACGCATGCGGTGGCATGTGTGTAGCGGAGGGCAGCATGCGGCTTTCTGTATTTACTTTGCTTCGGACATTGGAGAGAGGAGGGAGAGGGAGTGTTAAGGCGGCAGAATGGGCGAGCTTATGAGAAAGCAGAACAGTTGCCAAATTAATAATAAAGAAATTACATTGAAAATGTCCCATGATTCCTAGCTTTAATAGTTTCACAGAGCAGACGGGTGTTATTTTGGGATGGAATCCATATGTGAGCT